AAAGAATTCCCACTCGTCTATACAAGCAAGAACTAATTTTGACCATATTTCCTCGGAATTCAAAACAATCTTAGCTGAGTTGAGGTATAGTAAAAAGTTAATACTTCACTTAAGGTATCGCTGCTTTTTTAATGCAATAAAGTCATAAATTTGCGAGCATCCATATTGAATAGTTTTTTCGAAGTTTCCGCAATTGACCAACCTCAAGGAGTTTCGATGAAAAGCTACGTAAATAATTCCGGAAGTTTGATGCGAATTTCCACGCTGAAAGCATAATTGGAGGCGACAGGGCAATAAAAAAGTCTTTCATGGAAATGGATTATTCACGTTCGTAAAGGTAAAAGTTTAAGGGTCTACTTTAGGGATTAGGTTGACAGCGTACGGTTAGCCCCAAGGATTTGAAAATCTCTACTTTTGAGAATTTGAGAATCTTCCCATATTTTTCGTAAGAGTGGAAAGGGTCAACAATACTATAAGATCAGATTTATAATTCGCACCGCTCATTCCTTCAGAGAAAGAATGGGTGAATAGAGAGATAACATTCCCGCCCCATTATATCGCGTGCTTTGCTGACGGATGATTTTCCAAGGGAGGGGGGGGAGTATACCTGAGAGAAAACGGCGTGCAGCAGGGCTTCGCGCTCGGAACATGCACAACACTCTTCCTGGCAGATATATCTGCCGATAGTCAAGCAGCTCTGAAGGCGTTCGCATCTCACAAGCTCACCTTTAGTTCAGAAACAAGCGATCCTGCTTTGGGTCCCTGGACACAGTGGAATGCCGGGTAAGGAGAAAGATGATTATGTGGATACGCTGGTGGTCAGAACACCGAGCTTGGGATGGGTTTAAGGGTCATTTCAACAGCGCTCTGAATGAATAGGTGTATAGAATCCTGGGAAAAGTATGGCGAGCGAGGAAGATATGACTGCAGACAGCCCAAGAGGTTCGTTGTGGGGCCCGACAAACGTCGAACGCGCTAGCTACTGGACATAGGTAGAGAATCACTTAATCTTCAGGTGGGAGTTCTCACCGGCCACTGAAGACTGCACAGTTACGTATCCCTTCTAAGGGCGAAAAAAAGTTCTATGTTCCCTATGTGCTGGGAGGAGGGCGAGACATCCTTCCATTTTCTAGACGTTTTCCCAGTATATTGTAACCTAAGGGCTCAGATATTCGGAGCCATGGAGTTTGATAACTGTGAGGTACTGCCTAATCTGATGACGGCCCTTTACAATACAAATTGAACAATAAAACCTATGGGATAATGAACTAGCGTCTGTACTATAAGATGGGTGCAGGGACTATTGTGTACCCATTCCACTGGTTTGATTCTATTATTGCGAACTCGATATAAGATGCCGTACTATCATATGGTCAGCTTATCGAAATCGATATCCTTGTAGAGCAAATTTTCGAGACTGTCATACAGAAGAAATGACTGAGAGACTGTTAAGAATAGAAATGCCGAACGACCGACGCATATGCTGAAGTCGAGGTACTACAGTTAACTGATGATGAGCCTTCCAGTAATGTGCACCGTATTTCACGGAATGGTGTAGCTAGGTAGACAGGGCATCGTATTCTACTGGGCTGCTGTTACCTGTTCCACATTCAACGTGTGAAGGCACTCTTTATACTTTCCAAAGAGAGTCCAGTTTTGCAGAAGTATGTTTCAACAGCTAAGCAATGACTCGCAGTTTGTCTAAAAATGTTACGTATGGGCGAAAGTCCTATGAACATGGGTCCGCAAATGCTTCCTTATCGAGATAATGATTTTTTTATTTTTAGGGTGCTAATGGTGGGAAAACTACAATATTGTTGGAAAATTACTTTTATTTAACACAAAATTTCTAGGTACAATAAAAATAACTATTCACAATAGTTGTTCAAATTGTCCACCTTCACACTGTAAATATAGTTTAATAATGTGACTGGTGGCTTTCCCAATAACAGGACGATTACTTATGTCGTCAGCGACATCAGTAATTTTACGGAGCACTTCAGCCGTGGTATGCGATTTCTCTGCATACACTAAAGACTTCATATGTCCCCACAAGTAATAATCCAAGGGATTTAAATCGGGCGAGTAAGAAACTGCGCTCCCTCGTCCAATCCAACGCCCAGGAAAAGTGTTATTTAAATACTCAGTCACATTTCTACCACTGTCGGTTGGAGCATCGTCATGCTGTAGCCACAGCTGTTGTCTTCTCTGCAGCGGAATATCCTCTAACAACTCGTAAGAATTGAAGATAAACTTCAGATGTCAAGCGTCCGTCAAACACAAAAGGGCCAACTAAGTGATCCTCTAACAAAAAGCACCAGACATTAACAGAAAAACGATGTTGGAAATTCCGTTCGATAGTTGCGTGGGGATTTTCAAGCTGCCCAGAATGGGAATTCCTCAAATTATTGACGCCGTCTCGAGTAAAACTAGATTCGGTGAACAAAATCTTTTTAACAAGATTACGATTTGCGAGGAGCCAGTTGCAAAACTGCATACGAGGGTCCGGATCAGTGAGCAGCAGAGCTTGGACAGGTTGCAGATAAAATGGGTACAAACCAAAGTTATGCATTGTTCTACACACAGTCATTCGGCTAACACCAGTGCGACGTGATATTCTGGTTGATGTTGACCGTTCAACACTATCCGGTATTACGTCATGGGCAGCTTCTGATAGACGTGTTCTGGAACCACATGTGCCAAATCTCTTCCAAATACCCTTCTGTCAGGTATTCTTCGATTTGGATACCAGCGGCGGTATTTGTTCACTGATGCTCTGCCATTTCCGTTGCAATATCCATAGACAAACCTCATGTCACCGTATTCCTCACTTGTAAAAACAAACATGACAGTAATTTTTGCAAAGTTCAATCAAACTGACACAACTACTCCGTCAACAAACAAACGAACACCAGCGTATTAATCGGGCAGTACAATGTGAATGTGGGCTTTAATTATTGTAAACCGTTGTTTTAATACGAACAGTATTAAATTTTTTGTTAAATAAAAGCAATTTTCCAACAATATTGTGGTTTGCGCCCACTAAAAGTAAAAACATCATATCTCGATAAGGAAGCATTTGCAGACCCATGTTCATAAAACTTTTTCGACTCAAATTGACCTGAGGAACACGCAGAAAAATTTTGTCCCTTACCTCGCGGGACACCCTGTATATACACTAAGCTTTAGAGAATTCATAAATCTTAAGGCAGGACCGCTTTGGAGTCAACTTATGGGCCAGATTAGGGAAAATTCATTGGTCCATTTGAATTACCAGAGATTGTGTGCAGAAACTTATTTGCACTTTTTTCGAAACTGCCAGAACTGTTTCAATGTAGCCCCAGATCGGAATTCTCCACACAATGCATGTCAAGTTCTAAGATGGATTACTTGTCAGGCTTTGGCTCTTCATGACCACCGCTACTACTACTGTGATGCGGTATGGCGGACATACCTTAATTGTTCACTCATTACTTGCGGGTATATGTCAAAAACAGAGTGAAGTATTTCAGTCATGTGACTATATTCTGATAGGATGTGAGATTCAAATATTTCATCCATAGAGTTTCAAGTTTTTCCATATTTTACGACAGTTATTTCTCATAGAGTTACAAACACCATCCGAAATGTCAGATCACCGACATTTCTTCTGGAGTAGTGTAAGCTAACGACTTTAGATTGACTCATACGAAATAATTTAGATCGTTTGAGCCCGGGGATCGAAAAGACCATAAGTGGTCGCCCGGGACCTATCCCACAATCTACGTAGCTTCTATCTTCTCATAAGCAGGTTGGTCAAGAAGCCTATGACAAAAAGGTTGGACAGAATTCTAGTTGGAGTTAGTTACTTTCAGAAGCATTTGTAGAAAGTTTCTCACGAAACCTTTTTTATTCGCCCTGTATATTAGACATGAAGCAGTTTCGAAAAGTATCGGATAAGATTATCTTGGAATCACTTCCTAAATTTTTGCCTTAAACAGCGTATAAAATGCTTTTGATAAAAAAAGTGGTTGACAGATTAAAGAACGAAACGGTACGACACCATTCGTGTAAAAAAACAAAACAAGTAATAAAAGTATTTTACCCCCACCTTCCTGCTGGTTATCTTTTATACCTTTGACATATCATCTGATACTATACCTATGTACGAAAGTGGAGTAATATTCCTACGTTTCCCTACTTCCGTACCCTTATCCAGATAATTGATCGTTAAAATTGTCACTGCCAAAGGGATCGAGTGGGAGTTCAGGAACCTTTCATACATCTATTTTTATCCAGTAATATTTGCTTTAATTATGGATCAAAACGACAGATCTGCAACTGGTATTTGGTTATAAATTGATCGATTTTATTTTATCATCGGAAAAAGTAAATAAAACAAGCACTAAAAGTATCGTTCGATATCATAATCTGTATATTAATATTGAACGTAAGCATTTAGAGGAAGATTCTTTGGATTACAAAACTGCATTTGAAACTTTCTAATCTTCAATATGATTTCTTGCCGGTAAAAACTTTAGCATCGCTAAAATTTTGTTCAAACGAAGGGGCATTGTGTGTACATTTGATATTCGGTAAGCATTGGTAAAAAAACAGGCAAAGTTTGGGTCATAGTCAATCTTCTTGCCTCAATATTCTTATTTTAAAAATGCCTAATTTTTTTAGCTGATTAGCCTATTTATATTTAGGTGTAGTAAATTTTGGATTTTACTCGTAGGTATAATCAAAGAAAACTCAGAAACGGGTTCCAGTTTAGAATAGGGTGAGATTAGAAACTTGTATAATTGAGTTAACTGCCGTACTTTACAAGTGCATAATTAATATGGGAATTTCATCTAAAATCAGAAAATTCTACCAAGTAACAAATGTAGTTAATTACGTGTTTCTATGACAATATAAGTTCAATTCAAGTGAAATTTGTAGTAAAATATGGCTATAATCACTCATGTGTTTAAACAATGTCTAGGCCCCATTTGCTAACATTTAAAATTTTGTTACAGACGATGCAGTGGTGTCTCGATACAATAATACAGGCAAGTTTTTTCAAAATTATTTGTCACTCCATTCATACCTACATAATAAACATTACATCAACACCCAATTATTACAGTTACCATAACATTTTCACATGATTTTTCATCTCCGGCACATCTAAATTTACATACAACATAAACAGGAGGTATAAGGTATAAGGAATTTTAGCAATTTTCGTTGAATAAAAAATAAAGCTTTTCATGCCCGTATTACCAAGCCTGCCACAATCGGCAGCGTAGTAAAAATTAAAAAAAATGTTTTTTTATGCGGGCTGTTTTTCCGGTTTTCCGGATAATTCTGAACAAAAAAGCTCTTAGCAACATTTCTCGAAAGTTTTCGTTTTCGAGTTATATGGTATGGTACACATACAGGGTGTTCGTTTGAAAACTTCCCACCACGGATTTATCGAAAACGACTGATTGAAAGAAAAAACGCCGAGACACGTCAACAGATTTGTCAAGGTGGACAACTTCTTAACCAAACACTACCCCACCCCCTTTCACCCTCTGCCCGCCAGGGTCATCCCCTTAAGAATTTTAAATGACAAGGGGTATCGAGTAATAGCTTCTCTTTCGAAGTCCTTTATTTTGACGTTTGATTTTTTAAAACCGGTCGATTCGTTTTCAAGAAAATTATAAAGATCTTTATTTATCTGAATTTTTCAGATATGAAACCAAATCACATGAAAATATCACTTTTTATTTCGATAAGTGTTCAAAATGTTGCCCGTTATAGGCCAAACAATGATATAGGCATGTTCAAATTCCCGACGGACACTTTCAAAAACATGTTGTGGGATATCAAGGCAGCTTTCGATGATGCGTTGACACACTTTCAGGTTGGGGAGTAAACACAATAGATTTCAAATGGGAAAAAAGTATAATGGCATCAAATCAGGAAATTCTATGGCCACCTTCGCCCTATCCATTTATCTCGTCGTCTAGCTATTGCTAAACCCGAAGAACATAGTGAGAGGACTTTCAATGGTTCCAGTGATAAGCGGATTAATGATATTTTCCGACATATCCAAATAAATGTCTCCATTCAAATTTCCATTAATAAACAATGCCTGTCCATACATTACTTTTTTCTGGGTACTGGGTATGCTCTTCTAAAAAAGCATGGGGATTTTCTAATACCTGCAGTTATGCTTATTAACAAATCCATTTATATAAAATGTGCATTCATCACTGAAGCAGATATTCTTTACATGGTATCACTATTAATCGCTGCAGATATTTGTTCACAAAACTCAACTCGCCTATCGAAATCATTTTCGGTTAACTCTTGCAATATTTTCATTTTGAATGGATCAAATTTATGGAGTTTAGAGTAACTGAGTGTGCAGGACCTAATGAAATACCAGTCGTAGTAACAATTTTGTGTAATGAAGTATTAGGATTTATTTCAAAATGACCCAAAACTTCAACTTGAGCGACTTCATCCAAAACTCTCCGATAATCACGTTTTTTATTTGCAACAGATCCAGTTTGACTAAATTTAGTAACAAGGTCCAAAACATACCAATGCGAAGTTATCTTTCCGGGATGTCTCGCGTTAAACGTGGCGGTGGCGGCAGCTTGCCGAGCACACTGATTTTGGGCACCATAAATTAGAACCGTTCCCACTTTTTCAGCTAGTGTGTAAACCATTTTGGAAGCAAAATCTGAATCAGTAAATTAATTTTCACTATCCGATTGTCACGAGGCAACTGACACCAAATTCATTTCTTTTTTTCCCTTAGCAACAAATAACTAAACAGGTATAACAATAAATACATTATTATCTGTGTTGATGAAAATAATACGGAAAATTCGGGTTGTTATTTGGTTGCTCCACGACTAATCTTCCGAATTGCTGTTTATGTTGGTAGTTTCCGTTTTAAATTATAAACGATTTGTAGATTTGGCAAACCCTAACGGGCAACATTTTGAACACTTAGTGAAAAAAAAGTGATATTTGCGTGTGTTTTTGTTTTCTATCTGAACAAATTAAGATAAATAACGATTTTTCTAATTTTCTTGAAAACGAATCGACTGATTTCAAAAAATCAAATGTCAAAAGAAAAGACCCTTCAAGTAAGCTATTACTCAATACCCCTTGTCATTAAACATTTTTAAGGGAATGACCCTGGGGGGCCAAGGGTGAAAGAGGGTGAAGTAGTTTTTGGTTAAAAAGTTGTCCCCCTGGTTAAATATTTTGACGTTTCTCCGCGTTTTTTCTTTTAATCAGTGGTTTTCGATAAATCAGTGGTGGGAAGTTTTATGGTATGCAAAAACAGAAAAACTGACCTATTTTTAGCATGACTGACGTTTTGAACCAAATTATATCCTATTCTGAGGATACTGATAATATGGAACACGTGAAAACCCGGAACATTTCTAATAACCTCGCAATTCCCAAACTTGTAGATTTTCCCCACCGCATCCTTTTACAATTCAGGGAGCGTCGGATTTCCACAACCACATTATTTTAATTGAAAAAGTTGAGATGTTTTGTGGGTTACCATACGTTAAATTCTTCGTGCCTGTGACCGCTCTGACTTAATTCTGGCTTGTCGCGTCGGTCCTAGCAACATTCTCACCATTTTAATGCGATTCCCTTTATCAGTTTAATTGAGGAAGTTGATCGACTCTGGTTGCCTATACTTTTGCGGATAGCGAAGAGAATCTGTTCAGTCATTTATAGGAGGAATCGGTGGACACTTTTTATGGAATTTCTTATAATTTATTATTAGATGCTATTCTACTGCATTGGACTAGTAAAAAAATTGGGCTTATAATTATCCATCTTATTGTAAGACTGACTACTGGAACTTCATCCCTCAATTCTATGGTAGTGTTACGCATGAACATTAACAGTAGCATTTTTTTACTTGGCGTCTCTTGTCACGTTTTTAGATCGTGTGTTTTTACTTCCTACGATAATTGGCGAGGAAGTATTATGTCCGCGAAACATTTAAAAAATGAGATACCATGTTTTTTGAATTTTATGGCATTTGCATCACGAAGAACCATGTCACTCATTTCCGTCATTCTGCATGTCTGACTGATGATCTGTCTGCCTGACAATCCTTCGTCCCTAGCTGCTTTCCAGTCTCCCAGTTGAGTTACTCAGAGTAACTCGGAGTAACCCAGCAGTGCTAGGCACCAAGACGTTACACTGCATATTGTATTCCCATGCATTGTTTCTAGAACTTTTCGGGAGCATATCACTCTCAAACTAACAACCACAGGAAAGCAGCTTGGAAAGTACCGCTCTGATTTTGATGAAACTTTGACACAAGCCTTAGTGTGACAAGGAAGGAAAAACTTCATAGTCAAGTAAAAAAATCGGCCATCTTCGTTTTCTGAGGTTTGTGAGACTCCTTTTCATTTTTAGATTTTTTTGAAAGGTAAATATTGAGGGTAGGGTGACAGGGGTTGGGGAGAGTGTAAATTAGTTTCTTATACGCTTTCAATCTACGCAACGTTGTCAGACATAAAGTAGGGCAGATGAGACATGGGGTCTGGGGACTACTTATATGGGCCTAATTGACTGACTTGATTCAGTGAATTCCTTTGTTATTCACGTTTCAAGAGACAATTTAGAATTTTAAGTCGAGTTGGTCATATTGAAGAACATTTCTCAAGCTTTGAAAGTTTTGCACAGCTGTCAGAGCTGAGATCAGAGATCATTATCATGATTCATTTTTTGAATTTTTGTCATACTTAATCCGCTCTGCTTTGCTTTTCCACAATTTGGTATATAGGACAGAGTCTCCTATATACCTATATGCATATTCAACTGATTTCTTAAAACTTGTTTTAGTAAGTTAGCTTCACGAAAATGTTTGTCTAGCATGCATTTGCCTAAGTTCTTGGGAACTAAGGACTAATATGGTATCCCAAATTTTTTAATATAAGAACTGTGCAACCCTAAACAGTGAAGTGTAAGAATTGTTTCTTTTTTTATTAAGTTTCAAACCTTTGATGATAATGTTGCTGATAAACTTGATAACTTGTTTTAGATTGTTGTAACTGTATACAGTACTGCTTATTTTTGAAATCTGAGATTCTGTGTTTTGGGTTTGGATCATCGGTCTATTGTTGTTATAAATGAAAATATGCTAACAATGGCTTGTTTATAATAATAGTTGTGCAAGTGCATAGCTTCATTTCAACACAAAGTACATTGATTAGTTGACTAAGAAATTCATAGTGTATGCATTCCTGTCGTAATAGGGTATTGTTAATGAGTACAATGTAACGTTTTTCCATAAAAACACCTGAATACATATCTGCATTGTGTTTGTTAATAATCCTTGGCATAATCTGTCACTAATTCAAACATTTATGGTGGCTTCGTTCTTTTAGATCTTACCACAATGATAAATCGTTTCCGGTAAAGAATAGTCGCTGTAAATTAATAGATGAAGCGAGATCATTACATAAATCTCATAAGCAAGATTTTCAACAGTATCTAGATATCTTTGCTGAGAAAACAAGTAATGTCCAGTCTATCAGCATTACGTCTGATCCACAACATGAAGAGACGTGAAAATTTGTACACTTGGTAATTGAGACCCATGAAAATATAGAGACTGCTCAAAAAGTATGAATAGATCAAAATATCTCAAATAATAGGTATTCTGGAGTGAAATGCTGCAGAATAAAGTTATAAGCGTTGAAAAGGTTCATCTAATGGCGATCTTGAACGTGACCTGAATGTGATCTTCAAGGTAATTTGGAGGTCAAGATAGTCTTCTTAAATGAAACCCCTATTTTCGACACGGGAAATGTAAAGATCGAGAAATCTTACGTTAAAGTATCGCTTTGCTCATGATCTTGAACATGATCTTCTTGGGTATTTGAGGGTATTCATAATATGAGAAGGAGAAAATACGTTTCGTAGAGAAAAATCTTGTTGAACATAATGGGTGATTTTTTAAGAGGTATAGGATTTGATTTTCAAAAAAAAAACACAAAAAATTTGAAAAAACGATTAAATCTTTATTTGAGTCGATAGATCTGTCGATATAATTTAATGTTTAAAGATTATTTCATGTAATTGTTGGCCGTGGCTCCGCTTTAGATGGCCCATGCTCAAGGTCCAATTTTGGCACACTCTCTCCAACATATCGGCCGGTATCTCACGAATAAATGCTTCAATATTGGCTTCCAGTGCGTCAATCGTTGCTGGTTTATCCCTGTAGACATTAGCCTTAACATGGCCCAACAAGAAATAGTCCAACGGCGTTAAATCACACGATCTAGGCGGCCAATTGACGGGCTCCAAACGTGAGATAAACTGTTCACCGAACTCGCCTCTCAATAGGGCCATTGTTTCGTGTGTGGTGTGGCATGTGGCACCGTCTTGTTGAAACCACATGTCAGCCAAGTCCAGCTCTTCCATTTTGGGCAAAAAAAGTTTGTTATCATCGCACGGTAGCGCTTGCCATTCACAGTTACGTTCCGGCCATTGTCGTCTTTGAAGAAGTACGGCCCGATGATCCACCGGCCCTTAATCCACACCAAACAGTGATTTTTCGGGATGCATTGGTAGCTCTTGCAATGCTTCTGGCTGGTCTTCACTCCGGATGCGGCAATTTTGCTTGTTGACGTACCCATTCAACCAGAAATGAGCTTCGTCGCTGAACACAATTTTTCGATAAAAATGTGGATCTTCCTCCAACTTTGCCAGCGCCCATTCACCAAATTGGAAACGTTGTGGGAGGTCGTGTGGCTTCAATTCTTGCACCAGCTGTATCTTATAAGGTTTTACACCCAAATCCTGTCGCAAAATTTTCCACGTAGTGGAGTAACATAGGCCCAATTGCTGCGAACGGCGGCGAATCGACATTTCACGGTCATCACTAAAACTGGCGGATACAGCCGCAATATTTTCTTCAGTCCTCACTCTACGTCTGCGTGTTGGTGGTTTAATGTCCAATAATGTAAACTGAGTTCGAAATTTAGTCACAAGCTTCCGAATAGCTCCCTCAGTAGGCCGACCAAATTGCCCATATATTGGAAGCAGTGCTCGATGCACTCTCTTAACCGAGCATGAATTTTGATAGTAAAATTCAATAATTTGCAAGCGTTGTTCGTTTGTAAGTCGATTCATGGTTAAATTATAGACCAAACTGAACAAGTTTGACAATGACATAAGACACGATTCACGCGTCATCTGTCAAAAACAGTGTTGCCAAAAAGATACTAGCAAAAAATCACCCATTAATTATGAGGTTTGGAAATATTCATTTAATGTTGACCTTGAACGTGACCTTGACTATGACCTTCAAGCTGATTTGCAGTTCAAGACAGATTTATTAAATGGAAACCCCTACTTATGGTACCGGAAATGGAAAAGGCAAGAAACTTTATGTTCAAGTCATGATCTTGACAATAGCCATTACGGTCATTTGAAGATAAAACTGCAGAGAATTTTGAGTCAAACTCAAGTATATCCTCACCAATGAACCATGACCTTCAAGGTAATTCTCAGATCAGATAATTTTCAAGTAAGCTTTTATTTTTTGTGTAGGATATAAAAAAGTGAATCATTGAAATTGGTAGATCGTTGAATTAATATTGGTTAAACAATTCAGTGTCAAACTAACTATTGCATTACTTTGAATTTCTCCGAAACAAATGTTTATTCTAATACAAAGCCTTATCAAACATAAGTGTGATTTTGTACGCAAATTTCCAGTATATACCATTTCATCAGCTGTTTATTGGTGATGCAAGTCACAATTTGTACTTCTATCTACAAGCTTTCAGTTATTCTGTAACGAATATTCCGTTATCAGTAAAGTGCTTTGACGTTGCTAGTAATAGTAAGTCACTCGAGTTTAGTGTGCGAGAAGTTCTTGGGACCCAAACCAACTCTCGGAAGCAATATATTCGGACACATTAAGCCTCCAAGAGAACTAATCGTGGGCCATACTGTCAAGGAAAGACGTTTCTATCGCCGGATAGGGACAATTTGCGCCAAGTGGTTGGATTCTACCTGATTACATCAGACAGACCATACTGAGGGCTAGTATACTACATGGAACCAGAAGGTACAAACATGATGAGCAGGACCTATGGCCTTTTTGGTGCTTGCAAAACGGCCGGTTTTGGAAACTAGCACCGACAGAGGCGCGAAAGGCATATGCACCAGTAATTACTGGAACCCGATTGCTTCTTCTTTTTTAACCCCGCAAGAAGGACCGCGGCTCGCACTATAATTGACATTATTTCGTGAATTTAGAGTAATCAAAATGGGATATTTTGACACTACCTTTACAAAAACGAAATGTTCCTCCTTGCTTCTACTGTACTTGATCGTCATGTTTCTGGGTTCTTTGAAGTGTATCATTTGGAGCAGCGGTCAAAAATGAAAAAAAAACAAGCTATGTTTGTTAATATTTCAGAGGATCCTGATCATTTTTGAAAACTTTTTCAAGGGTGAACATTTAGCGGGGTGATGGCGGTGGCGGAAGCCAATAATTCTACGCATAGATAGAAAAATGTATTCGAGAAGGGTCTTTTCATCTGCTAACTTCAAGTAGCGTGGCCAGAGTGAAGGTGTCCGTATGTGTCCTGCATGACATAGGCAGCAGCGGTGGCCGCAGTAGTAGACTCTTCGATCTCCTGATCAGTCGCCGTGCGTTGTGCGCGTAAAGATGCGATTCCACCAGTGTGCTGAACTGTGCGGCACTCTAATGCACAGTGCACAGCACAAATGTTTCTTCTGGTCGACTCACTCACGCAAACAATAGCAAATTGTGCGCGAACATTTCGGAAACGTTCGCGCACACATCAGTTACTTTTGTGCGCGCACATACAAGCAGTGGACTCGCGTCGGCGCGTACATACTTGTTGTTCGCGAACAAAGTGTTGCTTCCACTTCTGGAGTGAAAACATTTGTTTGTACGCGCACCTCTTTTACGAAATTTAAAATGGACTGGACGAATGATAGGATTATAAAATTTATTCAAGCAATTGAAACTTATCCTCTTCTATGGGATTCCAGTCACCATGATTATAAAAACACGACGCCACTCAAGAGTTGGCTAAAAGTTTCAATTGTGACTCGACTGAGGTAATGAGGAAATGGAAAATTATTTTGGCTCAGTACCGAAGAGAAAAGAAGAAAATAGCGGATTCAAAATCTTCAGGTTCGGGGTTTTCAGATATATTATTTGTTATTTTCTATTGTTTCAAGATGTAATGTTACTTTCTTTTGCAGTCGTGCTAACACAAATTTGATTTTGAAATCATCTGAAAGGGTTATGTGTTTGAATTATAATAGTATTTGTAAGTTTTGTGACATATTTTTATGTTCTACTTCGGAGTTAAAATGTGTTCTGCGGGAGCGCCTTAGATAGTTTTAAGTTAGGCTTTTGTAATATGTCTAGTTTAAGATTTTGGCCTATAAATGGAATATTATCTGTTGGGCAATAAAAGCTATAAATAAGCCTTATTGAAACAGGGACACATTTTCTGTAGTTGGTGTCTTGCTTTGCAATATGAGGACTAAGTGCATTGACCAGCAACTCAAAATCTTCACACGATATACGAGTAAAATTTTTAAATTCACTTAAGGGATCTACTTTTATTTCTTCTACAAATCTATTCGTTTCTTTATTCCATCGCTGCAGAAAAGGTCTCACCCAACATCGTGGTTTTCTTCTTCGTTTCTTTTTAAGCAGACTACCTATTAAAACACAAGCTGCGGCACAAAACACTACATATTCCCGCCCATCCATATTAAGAACTGAAGTTAGTGAGAACTTTGCTTGGTAAACATGTTCGTGCACAAGTGTGCTACACTGTACGCTTACAAAAGTTATGCACTGCTTTGCTGGTGGACACAGAAGATAAATTCGATAGCAGTGAGCATATTCAATGCTGGAGTTTCACACAAAATGTTTGTAAACAAATGTGCTGAACACTATTTTGGTGGAATCGTACCATTAGAGTCCCGTCCCAGGAGAAATTTTTCTCTTGGCTATGGATGTTGTGATTGTCCGTAGGTGGTAGGCGGTCTCTGACTGTCGAACGCGGAGGTACCACCCGGCGGATCTCGTAGGCGGAGCCAGAATGTGTGCATGTTGCATGCACACGTGTTCCCTCGCCAGAGTCCGTGTAGCGTTCCCCCTTTCCCATGTATCCCCCTATAGCCCCACGGTACCCAATGGGTGCTTAGGCCTCAGGCCTTCGTGGTAGTTGGAGTATAAAAAAAATGACTGGTGCGACGTTTTTTGTTGCTGAATGGATGGCATTACGGGTAGGGCAGCAAAATAATGTTATGGACTAACTGTACGGATCTGTTTGACGGACTTGATCCGTTTAATTTCTCTGTTTTACTTGTTCGTAACGAAAGCGCAGCAAGTATCCTCTATAAGGCCTATGGGCACTGTCTTATTTCGATAGGGTCCAACTTGTACTGAACATGATACTTTATTTATTTTAAGTTCCTGGGTGGAGTTCTGAATTTCGCAATACTATCCTTGCGTAGTTTTGATTAGAAAATGGAGCACTAAACAAAAGTGAACGACAGTGCAACGACACAGGGCAATAAAACTTATCAGGTTTCTGACCATAATCTCACCTACCCATGTCTAATAATTGATCGATCAAACGAACTTACCTGAAGTGAAGTTCGATCGTAATTATACGAGGGTCCAGTCCGAAGACATCACTTTGTTTATTCACTATGTAGTCCGCCCCTGGAGTACGATCCGCGCACCAAGTTGAAAGACGAGAATCCCCACCTCCTCGCCGCGCCCTGGCCACTCGCGTTGAATCATTTGTTTAAAGAAATGGTACTTGCTCGCAACTTGGGAGGGTTGCATATAGGGTGGGGGTGATGTCTTCGGACTGGACCCTCGTATAATTACGATCGAACTTCACTTCAGGTAAGTTCGTTTGATCGATCAATTATACTTTGGGTCCAGTCCGAAGACATCACTTTGTTTATTCACTATGTAGATGTTTAAAGATGAGATAGAGTTGCGAGCGAGTTGATGATATAAAAAATACAAGTATACAAACACAAAAAGGCAAAAACATATATTCTGCATTCTCATAAACAAAAGCAAAAAAACAAGGGGTCAATTTTTAACATTTACCCTAATAGTAATATTTTTTCAAAAAACAACTAGAGTACCTAAAGTACGTCACAAACTCTTAAACTGTTCTAACTAATCAGGCATTTATGTCCAAAATGGCCTTTGCAAACTCATTGTTGGTTTGTAAAGGACGATTATAAAACTTTGCAAATGTGGAATGTTGCGTCCAACCAACTGTTTTACATATACTATCTACGGAAACGCCTTTTCTTAACGCCGTTGAGGTAGCCGCATGCCCGACTGAATGAGGCGTAAAAAGTGTTGTGTTGACACCCGCCGATGCAAGAGTCTGTTTTACCCATCTGCTTAAAGTGTCTTTGGACGCCCTGGTATGTGGTTTTTTATATGTCACGAATAGAAAATCGTTGTCGGGTTCTCTCAAGCTAGCTGTTCTGTCAATATATTCCTTCAGGATGGTGGCTACGCACAGGAAAGGGTTTTGTTGAAAAACCGGTATATGCAAGGTTGGTTGAGGTTTCCCAATTCGACTGGTTTTAATTGGGTCTGAAATATTAATGGTAGTTTCGCTGGGACCATGGGAGGTATGTGAAAGACGAATAAGAGAAATTGTCTGGAGTCTTTCTCCTGTTATTAGAGCTAATAACGTTGTCAATTTTTGTGACAGACTTTGGAGGCTAAGTGGAGATGGTAACTTTTCTAGATAACTTAGGAGAGGTATAGGATCCCAGGTGGCCGAATATTTTGGCCGAGAAGGCCGTAAACGATGAATGCCTTTTTTGAAGCGTCTAATTATAGGATTGGATGCTAAATCAGTTGAGCAAATTAGTGAAAGAGCAGATGTATGAGAATTAAAAGTGCCAGACGTGAGGTTTTTCTTCTTTGTCAACTCTTGCAAGAATGACACCACGTCTTTGATTGTGGGTTTAAAGATCGAAATGTCATTACTAAAGCAAAATTCCCACCACAATTTGTAGGAGCTGTTATATTGCTGCAATGTGGATCTGGAGACTGAGGCGATGATTGTAGAAATAGCAGATTCCGGCACCTCTCTACTCAAAAACGCTTGCCTGATAACTTCGCTGCTACCAGGGTAAGGGTTTTCGACAGCGGATGTGACCTGGAAACCGCACAAGATAGTAAATCAGGTGAAGGGGGAAAATGAATTTCTTGGTCGATCAATAACTGACGGAAAAGTGGGTACCAAGGTTGTGAAGGCCACCAAGGAACCACCAAAATTCCGACAGCCTTATCCTGAATTATTTTTTGTAAAACTCGGAGAATTAAGGTAAAAGGGGGGAATGCATAAAAATAAAAACTGTTCCAGCGAATTGTAAACGCATCGATATATGTAGATCCTGGATCTCTATGCCAGGAAGCGTATACCTCGCATTTCGCATTGGTATGAGAGGCAAAAGGATCGATCTCTGGTTTTCCGAAGATGTCGGTTAAATGGTCGAAGGCAGTTTGAGATAATGACCATTCCGTTTCAAAATTCAAGCTCCTGGACTCATCGTCTGCTATAGCGTTATCTTTAGATGGGATGTATGATGCAAAAAGCCAGAGATTTCTTTCCTCACACCATTGCCAAATTTGTTTAGCCAGAGAACATAGCTCTGGAAACCGAACACTCCCCATTCTGTTAATGTAAGAAACGGCTGTTGTATTGTCGCATCGAATTAGAATATTGCAATTTTTTAAAAGTTTTGCATAACACTGGATGCCGTAAAAAATATAGCCCATAATTCCAAATTATTTATATGCAATGGTTTTTGGGAGTCGGACCAGAAACCGTGGGTTCTATCCTGGCCAGAGCAAGCCCCCCCATCCTGTTAGCGATGCGTCGGTAAAGATGGTGATATGAAAGGAATCATACCTTATGTCATTGAAAACTGTTGAAATGTGATCTTTCCACCATGAAATATCGCTCTTTATGTTTTCAGGAATAGCCATACTTGCGTTATAATTTCCATTGTTTTTCTCTAAAGCTAAGAATTTTTCCCTTTCTAGAGATTTGCAATAAAGAAGCCCGTATTTCACACCAGGACAAGCCGACCCCAAGGTGCCAATGAACCTTGCCCAGTCGCGAATTCTACATCTCGATTGGTTCAAATAATATGAGGCTAACCTGAGGATGTGATTTTTCTTTTCGGCAGGAAGTTCAATTGTTAAATTAACACTATCTATCAGAAAGCCGAGGAATCTTATACGAGTAGTGGGTACCAGAATGCTTTTGCTGTTATTGATGATAAGACCCAATGAGCTTAAAAACCGAATGGTTGTGCTAACATTATTAAGGCAGGATTCATAGGAAACTCCAAAGATTAGAAAATCGTCTAAATAATTGACTGTAGAGATGCCTAAATTGCGGAGAAAGGAGACGACTGGCTTCATAAGCTTTGTGTGCAAGTCGCGTATAGCTACTCGAACTAGCGATGTTTCTGTCGAAGAAAAATTATTTGTGCCCAAAGGTTGACGTAATGGAGGTGTGCATTTAAAGGGAATCCGGTAACCTTGAATCCAGGATAAGACTATCGGATTTGAAGTTAGTTTTGACCAAGAGTTGAGGTAAAATTGTAGCCGACCAGCAAATAGAACTTGTTTTACCTTCAACGTTTTCTGGACTGCTGTTGTCTGTTCGGAGCAAACTGTTTTGAGGAATTGCCCTTGTGCTGCCTCACCTCCCTCTTGCGGTAAGACGGGCGATACCTGTTTAAAGCGCCTACATTCTTTGACGAGTTGCCTCCCCCCCCTCTTCTTTCAGGATTACTGAAAGACCGAGTCACTTGAGAGCTACTGCGTGAGGGGATAGAGGACAAACGTAGGTCCTGTCCGGCCTTCTCCAAAGATTTCAAATTTTTCGCCCGCTCACCTAAATCTGGCCCGAATAAGAACTCCCCTGGTAAGGTGTTTTCAGTCAGTTCTTTAACTGATTTGTTGAGTACTGGGCTGATCAGGTACTTTCTAGTTTTAGAGATGTCGTGAAAGAGTGCCGCCAAGATTCGCGCAGAATCTGTCAAATTCGATAAAATCTTTTCCTTGGTATCCTTGGGAATCTGGGTTTCTTCTTCCAAAATGACGTTAAAAGCTTTCCCCATGGCGGTCAGTCCGGTACCAATGTTCAATTGGTACCCGGAATGGGTGGCATCTCTCGTTAAATGAGTAGAAGAGAGAATGGCTTTCACTTCGGGGTTTATCTTCGGAGGGTGTAAAGAGGCACAGTTAGAAGGCACAATGTGTTTTTCTCTAATGATGGTGGTGTCCTCGGTGGAAAGTCCGTTGGCCAAAATGTGGGACCATCGAGAAGCTAAGGCACCGTGTAGTTGGAAGTTAGACCTATTGGCTTTTTTAGGATCTACACCCAGGATATTTAATATGTCTTCCGATAATGGGAGACACTCACCTTCACTAAGCATCAAAACATCCTCCATATCATTTTTCTCAGTTGGTACCGTTCCCAAGTCCGGCCCTGTCAGAATCTGAGCTTCCGCCTCGCACGGAGAACGGCCAGCCGAGTCTACCTGACGCTGTACCTTATCAGATGGGCTGCCTGAGTTTTTCTCTTGACGCAAATATTCCCGTCTCTCTCTACGTCGCCTCGACACGCTCGGTGATCGACTGCGACTGTTACTACTCCTAGAATGTGACCTTGAACGCCTACGGCTGATGCGAGAGCGGGAGCGTCTAAAATGATGAGGTGAATTGGTACGAGACATGGATCTGCTGTGTCGACTCTTTCGGGATAAACTTCTCGAATTAGTGCGAGAACGATAACCACCTGACCTTGCCTCGAGCTCCTCCTGTAAAATGGCCCGAATCATGTCTCTCAAGGAGCTGGGTGAATTGGCCTCCGAAATTCCTGATTTTTCCATGGTTTCTGTTAAACAAGTATAACCATTGGTTAACGTATTCAATCTGGTTGAATACGCCAATCAATTATGTAACAGACTGCTAAGTGGTATCAAAAAGAATAGCCTTGTTGTGAACTTACCTACCTACTCACTGAGCACTATGTACCGAAAAGAGAAATCGCACGCGTTTTCTGAACTGAAGCAGGCCGGGCGACTGCACGGATCGCGCACCAAAAAGCGAATGATTCAACGCGAGTGGCC